TAAATTTTTTTTTTTTTAATGGAGTCTCTCATGTTGCCCAGGCTGGTCTCCTGAAGTGCTGGGATTATAGACGTGAACCACCACACCCAGCCAAGACAAGATTCTTAAAATAGATAGTAGGAAATCTCATTTAAAATGGCCCTTTGGGGTTTTGTATGTAGCAGAGCAGCTCTTTTGTTGCTATCTGTTGAAAGTCAACTCTCAACACAAGGGTTCATTTTTAAAAAAAATAATAAAATGTTCCTAAACTAATTTTGGGGTGTATGTGGAGAGACTACTCTGAGAAATGCACAGTAAATATGTTTGTATTTGAAAATGGGCTACCTAATGGCAGGGAATGAATGACGCACATCTTTGTTTGCCTCCCATGGCTTTTGCTCAGCAAATATTCGATCCATTAAATAAATAGACATAGATTATTGATTATGTGCCAGACATCCTTCTAGACAAAGGGGTTAGGGGCAAAAAATGGGAGGTGCTTCCTTAATTGAATGGAGGATTGAATGAACAAACTGATGAACACTGTACCTTTTCTGATTTTTCTGAACTAAGTCATCAGTACTTTTTTGCATCTCTTGTTTCACCTAAGACTTTCTTTACTATGTCGCGAGGCAGTGGGACTTCCTTCAAAAGACTCAATTGAAATATGGTCTACTATGGCTGAAGCTGGGTATCTGTGTGCTTAACTTTTGTGTGGGTTTTAAGTTTCAAAATAAAAAAGTTTTTAAAAATCACCAATAATAATAGAAGGTAATTATCATGATAGGTATCAATGGTTTTATAGCATCCCTGTTTATAACAGAGTTAACCAAAAACTCTACAGATGCTCAGAGGTGAATGACTAAGAAAATTCACATAATCAAGAGGATAGAATACTATACAGCAACGAATTCACATCTGCAGACTTTGTCAATTCATGGAAATATACAAGGAAATAACATGAAATGAAAAAACAAGCAGAATATAATCCACAATTACAACAAAGAAAATATGTGATACGCATATATTTACATAGGCATATCACATATATTTAAGTTTTTACGAAAACTAAACATGTATTTGGTTATGTAGGAATATTACTTTCCTTTCTGGGTAAGACTGCCCGTGTTAATACATGTGATATAAATAAATAAATAACACATGTATAATAAATTCTGTGTTATTTTCTTTTATTTTGAGATGGAGTTTCACTCTTGTCGCCCAGGCTGGAGTGCAGTGGCATGATCTTGGCTCACTGCAACCTCTGCCTCCTGGGTTCATGCTATTCTCCTGCCTCAGACTCCCTAGTAGCAGGAACCACAGGTGCACACCACCACGCCTAGCTAATTTTTTGTATTTTTAGTAGAGACAATGTTTCACCATGTTGGCCAGGCTGGCCTCAAATTCCTGACCTCAGGTGATCCTCCCACGTAGGCCTCCCAAAGTGCTGGAATTGCAGGTGTGAGTCACTGGGCCTGGTCATAAATTTTGTTTTCTAAGCAAACTTATCTTACGCCAGAAGGCAGAATGGTTAGGGAAAATATCTAGTGAAAAAGAGCACCAACAAAGGAGCACCATCTCTCAATTGTCACACTAATGTGCAGTGACACTTTGGCAACTGACTCCCAGTTACTGGCATACAGTTTAATCTACCACTTGGAGCCAAATGGCAGATATGGGATTTTTCTTAATCTGAGTTATTATTCAGAACAACATATTCAACACAAATATTTAAACACTAGTGCCAGATTTCATTTTTACATGATAACTCCTCAAGCCTTTAACCGCAAGCGTGCATACAAGGTAAAAATTAAAAAAAAAAAAAAAAATTAAGCCTGCTGACTTTCACTGTGATTGTGGTTTGACATCATGCAGGATAGATCACAATTGCTGATTCATATTAGGAAAGAGAGCCCCCAGCTGTCACAAGCACATTGTGTTTGAAAATACAAAACCTTACCAAATCACTTAGTACTTAAAATTAACACCATCCTCATCGTCTTGTGGTTGAAATGATGACTGAACAATAACTCAAGCTGGTTGTGTTCTATATATTTTTTAATTAATAAAATTAGTATTCCTAGATCTTTTTAAATTGCTCTACTCTAGCCCTAGGGGAAAATGATTTCAGAAGGCTGAATATGTATGCTGATTCAAGATATGATTTCTCACACACCCAACCTCTATAATTTTGGATTATAGAGTAATACAGAGTAATCTGGCACCAACTCTTTGGCAATGCTGTTTAAAAACAAAGTTACTATTACACACAGTCCAGGATGTTGACTTTGCATTGTACATAAATACATTTATATAATACTTTTTATTTAATATAGAAGCCATAGCCTGGATTTTTTTTTTAAAAGTGATTAAGAATATGGTAATTATGAGACTCTCAATTGACTCAAAAGCTCAGAGCTAAAATCCAGGTAGAGTTTGAACACACCTTACAAAAAATTGAGATCCAAATTACATAAACTTTTTGAAACTTTTGATTTAAGGACTAAGCTTTCTGGTAACCTCTTTGGGAACATCAGGATAATAAAAGATGATTAAGTAATAACAATATCTCGGCTGGGCACTGTGGCTCACGCCTGTAATTCCAGCACTTTGGGAGGCCGAGGCAGGAGGATCACAAGGTCAGGAGTTCGAGACCAGCCTGGCCAATATGGTAAAACTCCGTCTCTACTAAAAATACAAAAAAATTAGCCAGGTGTGGTGGCGCATTCCTGTAATCCCAGCTACTCAGGAGACTGAGGCAGGAGAATTGCTTGAACCCGGGAGGTGGAGGTTCCAGTGAGCTGAGATCATACCACTGCACTCCAGCCTGGGCAACAAAGTGAGATTCCGTCTCAAAAAAAAAAAAAAAAAAAAAGAAAGAAAAGAAAAGAAATAAAAAAGAAATAACGATATCTGATCAAATTATTTGCCTTGTCCGAATGGATGCCAGTGCTGACTATAAAATTCACCATCTGGGAGACCTTGAACAAATTATTTAATTTCTTTGATTCAAACTTGCTGTCTATAAAAATGAAAATAACTTTATGTAGTTTCTAACTTAGAACAATAAATTATTAATGATAAATATGAAAATGCTGGGAAGAGTTTCAATCACTACTAATGTATATTCATTATCTAGCATTGTCTTCTTCAAATGGATACATTTTGAAAACAGCCTTTAATCATAGAACCACTTTTTTGCATAACTTTAAGCCATAGGGTTAATTATACATGACACAAATCTAACCAACAGAATTGTACTACTTAGATTAAAAGAACCTTGCAGAAATGATAGTTTTGCATAACTTTAAATAAAAGACTAATTACATATGACATAGAAATCTTACCAACAAAACTGCATTATTTCAGTTTAAAAGAGACTTGAAGAAATGATATTAACAGTCCAAGTCATATTTAAAGAAGCCCACACAAAGGGGAATTGAAACGGATAAATGGACTTACTTGGGAGTTTATCTTGAAAAGGAACTAAACACACATCCCAAATAACCAATGTCTGCAAGATCCAAAAAGACAGAACTCCAATAAGGCAAAGGACTCAGTGACACTGAATTACAACGGACAAGTCCAGTAAAATTCAGTTCTTCCTACTATTCCTCCCAACAAAAGCAGAAATCAACCAACACGCGTGGTACCGGTTGACCCGTTCTGTGCCACTCAGAGTAGGTGCATGGAAGAGCAGACAGGAAGCTGCGGCATACTTAATGAATACTGAAAGGGAGTACTAAGGGTCTGGGAAAGTGTGCAGAGACGGACCCTACCTTTCACAGATTTCCCAATACTGTGTAAGTGAGTGATAGAACTGTAGTTTTGGGCAACAGTCTTCAAAAACGCTTCCATCCCTTCCTGGTGGTGGTAGTTGAAATCCAGCGCAGCTACCAAAGGCAGCAACAGCTCTAGCCAGAGGTACGGGAAGTTCATGTTCTAGAGATGAATAAAAATAAGAACCTGAAAACACATGAGGGCAGGCGGGGGCATCACCGGCTACGGCTCGGTACTCAGGTCTCAGGGTCTCCCGACACTGACGCTTCCTGCCTTTCAAGGAGGCAAAAGCTGGAAGCAACACCTTCGGGAGTGAGCCGTGCAACCGGAGACCGGGAGCACGGGCAGCCTCGGTGCCCTCAACCCAGCCGCCGGCGTCCCCTGCTCCTCCTCATCCCGGCGCCTCCGCCGCCCAGCAGCTGCCGCAGCTGCGCCCGGCCCCGCGAGCCCCAAGCCTCACCAAGTCCCAGGCGCGCACCTCTACCCGCCCGCGGCTGCCCGGCGGGGCCGGGTGTTATAGCCAGGTCAGGGGGCGGGCGCGCCTGGGCCCCGCCCCCGTTCGTCCCTCCGGCCCACTCCGGAGCCGCGCGGGTGCCTCCCGGGCGGGGCCTCAGCCGCCTTCGCACCTAGCAGAGCCGGCGCCCGCGCGGAGTGCCCTTTGGTGGCGCTGCTGCCGGTACCGGGGGGCGGGCGGCGGAACGGGGCGGAGGGCTGCGGGACAGCCGGTCGCCGCTCGCGGACAGCCTTTGCTGGCGCCCCAGGTTAAGAAGTGTGTCTCGCCTCGGCCGTGGCTGGCTGGAGCGACCACAGGGCGCTCCACTGAGGGGACACTGTCTGTCGCTGGCGCAGCCACTTGGAAGAAGTTTAGGACTCGGCCGCGTTCCTGCGGTTGGCAGTGCCGGGGCCCACCTGGAGCCGGGACGCGTCCGAGTCCCGGATGCCCCGATCCCCGCCCGGGCTCCTGCGGGATGGGCTGCGTCGGCCACAGCAGGGTGAGCCAAACTCCAGCGGTGCCAAGCTGCCCGGCGAGCTCAATAATCCGGGGGTTTCAAGAAAGGCAGCGGCGCCTGCATGTGGAAGTTTAAATCCACAGAAATTACAAGTGCAGGATATTTTCCTGTTTCAAATTTACATAGTGGTGGGATTTGAGTAAATTAGAATTGAATTTAAAACTGCGTCACATGGAAGAAGTCAGGACCACTGTTGTAAATCGATGCTTCCCCACCTGAGTGTGAGCAATTTCCGATGCTTCCCCCACCTGCACCTGAGTCTTAGGCCAATTCCAGGTCTCTCGTCCTAAAATGCTCATTTCTGGAAGGATGGCACAGTCTCTGCGGGAGAGAAAGAAGGATTCATTTAAACCTGAGAGGTGGTTTGTGGCGAAGGCTAACCCTTTTTACCTCTCTAAAAAAATCATTCTCATTCTCTCTCTCTCCCCCCTCCGCCCGACTCCGTCTCTGTCCTCTTGTCTCCCCCTCCCTCTCTCCCCCTATCTCTCTCCCCCTCTCCTCACTTCTCTCTCCCTCTCTCCTGGATTCTCAGTAACCGTGTCAGGGTATTGGGGCCCGTGTCAAGGTCCGGGGGATACAAAAAGTTTGAAAACCACTGATTTCAGATAACATTCCTCTTTTACAGACTAAAAATACGGATGCAAGCCCCCGACTAATTGAATAGAGTTTTTCTCATGGAGGCCCAAGAAAGTGTATTTTTAAAGAGGACCTTGAATGAATCCAATGTGCCTTCAAGAGCTGAGAACTGTTAGATTCCCTGCTCCTTCTTTCTTACAGATACAGATACTTTTCCTAGAATTGAGTTCTCAGGCCTCCCTGAGACTTCCTGTGATTCTGCGGCTGCAGAGAAGAGTGGTTCAAGAGCTGAGGCGCTCATGGGATGGGCGCCAATTCTTGCACGGACACTCAGTGACTGTGTTGACTCTGTGCCTTATTTTCTGGTCTATAATATGGAAGTCTTAATTGTACCTGCCTAAATAAAGTTGGCAGGCACATTGTAGGAACAGTGTGAAGTGTTTATTAAATAACCAGCTTAATTCATAACTCTTTAAGGGGAATTTTCCAAGAGTTGAAAAAATATATATTTTATATATATATTATATATAATATATAAAATATATAATATATATATTTTTATATAAAATATATAATATATATATAAGTATATATTTTATATATATATATATATATTTTTGAGACGGAGTCTCGATCTGTTGCCCAGTCTGGAGTGCATCGGCCTGATCTCAGCTCAACGCAACCTGCGCCTCTCAGGTTCAAGCAGTTCTCCTGCCTCAGCCTACGGAGTAGCTGGGATTACAGGCGCCTGCCACCACTCTTGGCTAATTTTTGTATTTTTACTAGAGACGGGGTTTCATCATGCTAGCCAGGCTGGTCTGGGACTCCCGACCTCAGGCGATCTGCCCGCCTCAGCCTCCCAAAGTGCTGGGATGACAGACCCGAGCCATGGTGCCCAGCCATCTTTTTTTTTTTTTTTTTTAAGAGAAGTTGCTTTATTATGTGTTTATTTATTTATTTTGAGATACAGTCTCACTCTGTTGCCCAGACTTGAGTGCAGTGGTGCAATCTCAGCTCACTGCAGCCTCCACCTTCCAGGTTCAAGCGATTCTTGTGTTTCAGCCTCTAAAGTACCTGGGATTATAGGCGCGCATCGCCACACCTGCCTAACTTTTGTATTTTTACACCACACCTGCCAAACTTTTTCATTTTTAGTAGAGACCGGGTTTCACCATGTTGGCCAGGCTAGTCTTGAACTACTGGCCTCAAGTGATCCTTCTGCCTCAGCCTCCCAAAGTGCTGGGATTACATGAGTGAGCCACCTCGCCTGGCCCAAGAGTTGGAAAATCTTAATATGATATTGTTGAGTCTTTGAGTAGGTTTTTTTTTTTTTTTTTTTTTTTGTTTTTTAATTGTGCAGTAGTCACTATGCTAAATGTTATTTCCACTGGATGGGTCAAAGTTCTCCTTTCATTGTTGTTCATTGACTAAGAGGTCTGAGAGGAGGGGGACTAGAGCTTGAGGAGATTAACTTTAGGCAAAGTTACTCTAGGAATGGGAAAGGGAACTGAGTGGGAGCAAAGTGAAGGCTTGCTGATGTACCTTAGAAATCATATCTTTTTAATAGAAGAACATGGAGACTATCTGTTTTCCTGCAAGGTGCTGCGGCTGGAGACTGGAAGAAATGGTGGCTTCATCAATACTGGAATGGAGATTGCCAGGATTGTTGTTCTGGAAAAACAGAGATGAGCTATAGCTGAAATTGCTGCCACTGGGGTTCACACTAGGTAGGAAGGGAAGCAACTTCAGGAAGGAGTCAGAGAATGGAGGAAGGGGGTACAGAAGACTGAGTGCTGAAGGTTTAGGAGCTAGTAACACTCAAGAGTGCGAGCCAGGGACAGCACTGGCATCACCTGGGAGCTTGTTGGAAATGCAGAATCTCTCACCCCGCTCCAAACCTACTGAATCAGAACACACATTTTAATAGGATTTTCAGATGATGTATATGTACATTCAAGTTTAAGGTGCACTGGTCTTAGTGTTAGAGTATGAAAGATAACAGCAAAATAAAAGGTTCGCCTAATAGAGTAAAATACTGAAGTTTAGAGATTTTAGAGGTGATTTTTTTTTTTTTTTTGAGACGGAGTCTTGCTCTGTCACCCAGGCTGGAGTGTAGTGGCACAATTTCAGCTCACTGCAGCCTCCACCTCCCGGGTTCAAGCAATTCTCCTTCCTCAGTCTCCTCAGTAGCTGGGATTACAGGTGCCCACCACCACACCTAGCTAATTTTTATATGTTTAGTAGAGATGAGGTTTCGCCATTTTGGCCAGGATGGTCTCGAACTCCTGGCCTCAAGTTATCTGCCTGCCTCGGCCTCCCAAAGTGCTGGGATTCCAGGCGTGAGCCACCAGGCCTGGCCCTAGAGATGATCTTTCTAAGCATGGCGCCATTAAAGGTAAAACCATAATAAAAATATTTAAAAATATAAAAATGTATGACTTCTGTACAGGAAGCCTTATAAAGGTTATAAGAAGAAAGGTTTAAATCAGGTTATGAGAAAAATTATAAACTGGAATAAGAAATTAATAATTCTGACAAAATCAAGAATGAGCAAAGGAGATTAATAAGCAGTTCATAAAAGCAGTAACGCAAATAGCTAATAAACATAGTAAAGGTTGCCAACCTGGTAAGCAATCAAAGAATTATAAGTTAAAAAGGTAAAGTAATATTTTGTTTTGCTTATCACAAAGCAAAATTAAAAAGATTGACAATACCTGGAAGTAGACAGGATCTCAGGAAATGACATTTATGCTGTTTCAATGGTATTCTAAATTAATACAATTTTTCTGGAGGGAAGTCTGGGAATAGACATCAAAATTTCAAATGTGCCATTCCTTGCTAGAAATGTATGCTATAAAAGTAATTTGAAGATGTGTTGAGTTTGTATATGTTAGGAGCTTCATCAGTGCTGCTGCTTCAAATTGTGACAAAGTAGATAAAATCTAAATGTCAAACAATAGCAGATTGGTTAGATCAGTGGTTCTCAACTTGAGTTAGTATTGCCCACAGCAGACATTTGGAAATATCTGGAGACATTTTTGATTGTCATAACTAGGGATGGGAGCTACTGGCAACTAGTACTGTACTGATACAGAGGGCAGGGAGGCATTAAATATCCTTCAATGCACAACACAGCCTCCCACAACAAAGAGTTATTCAGCCCAAAATGTCGATAGTGCTGAAGTTGAGACACCCTGGGTTAAAGAATATTATAACTGTACAATTAATTATTTTTCATAATCTCAACGTAGATCTGTATTTATTCACTTGGAAAGATAAACTGTTCAGGCAAGAAGCAGATAATAAAAGTAAAATGAATAGTAAGATCTCATTTAGATAAAGCAAACAAGAAAACCTATTCCCAGCAATATGTTTCTAAGGTTACCAACATGCTGAGTGCTAATCCACTAGTTGCAATGTTTTAATTTTTTAAAAAATCTTTCTGTATTTTCTGAAAAGTTTTTCCAGCAAACATGCATTGCTTTCTTAAATCAGAAAAACAATGAAGGCATTTCCTCTGCAAAGCGGAGGAAAAAACAAAAAAGTGTTAGAGAGGACCAATGACTAATTCTGAATGAAAACAGGACCAAAATGTCTTAGAGTGAATTACAAAAGTGAAGAGGAGGTAAAGATCACTGGAAATGGGAAATTGACTCTGAATTTCCCTAAGATAGTCGGGGGCTAAGTACCTCAATAGATGTCAACAAGAATGAAAACAGTGTAACTAGACTTTGTGACTTTCAAACTTTTTTCTTTTGAAAGTGTCACAAGAAAATCTGAACAAGATAAAGGAAAAAATTTAAAGTTACAAATTTTACATACCTGGAAACAACCATTCTTAAAACACATTTAGGGGCGGGGTATGGTGGCACACGCTGTAGTCCCAGCTACTCAGGAGGCTGGGGCAGGAGGACTGCTTGAGCCCAGGAGTTTGAGGTTGCAGTGAGCCATGATCGCACTGCTGCACTCCATCCTGGGTAACAGAATGAGACTCTGTCTTAAAAAAAAAAACAAAAACCCAAACCCCAAAGCAAACAAACACACACACACACATTTAGGTATTAATCAGTGCCCTAATGTGGAATATTTGTTTCTGATATTTCATTTTTATACACAGCACATCTATAAACATTCTCAGAGCTAAATCTTTGAGCACACGTTACCTCCTTAGGATCAATTCTTAGACATGTAATTGCTAAGTTAAAAAGCATGTACATTTTTAAGACTTAAAATATTTGGCCAAATTATACTCATATAAAATGTCAAATGTATAATTTTTTAAATGTTAAAAAGCATTCTCATACAAATATAGAATAAGCACAAGTCAAGTTTTAACTTATTAATGAGGAAACCAGTAGGATAACAAAGCCAGTTCAAAGAAAGACATGAGAAAATATGCGTGTATATATACACACACACACATATCTATATGTGTACATATATTATGTATTTCTATTTATATGTGTATATACATATATTATGTATATATATAACTATATATACATAGATATGTACATATATCTGTAAGTATATACATAGATATTATGTACATATATCTATAAGTATATACATAGATATGTACATAATATCTATATATGTATACATATGTATCTGTGTATATACATTTACCATGTACATATATCTATGTATATATATCATGTACATATATCTATAATATATACATATGTATATGTTATGTATATATGTATATATACATCCCATAATGTATATGATGCATATACATGTATACATAATAGATACATATGTATATACTTATAGTATTATATTATATACATATAGTATATATATTGTGTACACATACCTATATACATATATTATGTATATTATGTATATATGTACTATATATGATATACATATATAAATATACATCCTATATACATATGTGCATAAATATATAAAAAAGAGAATACTAAAATCATTCTACATCATTGCTAAATTAGATATAAATCTGATTAATGTCTTACAGGGTGATAAACCATAACGTTTGGTGCTATCTTTACAGAGCAGAAATTATTTCCATCTGTGCAGGACAGAAATTATATCTCCACTGGACAAAAATATAGCATCTCACCATTTTTCTACAAGCTAACATTTGAATTTACAGTTGTAAAATGTGCAAATCCATAATAACGAGTCAGGATTCAATTCACCTTAGATGGACTGGTTAGGCAATGCCTAACATGAAAACAAATTATGCAATCATACTTTGCTTTCCAAGTTTTGGAAAATTTTTTCTGGCCAAAGGTCATTCCAATTTACAGTCCTTACTGGTGATGTGTGAACATGCCTGTTTGGCCTCTCGTGATTACTATTATCTCTTTTAAAAAATTTGCCAGTTTCATAGATAAAAATGAAATCTCATAATTTTAAGTTTTAGTATTAATGTGACTGAACATTTCTCTC